AACGAGTCATCTCGTTCCAGTCCAGGCAGCTCAAAGCCGCCTTGGGGAACTACCCTGTCCATGACAAGGAGCTCCTGGCAATGAAATATGCCCTTGTGAAGTTCCGTGTTCACCTTCTGGGCTCTAGGGCCTTTGTGATCTACACAGACCACGCGTCCTTGAGGACGGCGACTAACTCGCCTCACCTCTCCCAAAGGATGGCGAGGTGGCTGTCCTTCTTCGCGGAATACAACTTCCGCGTCGGATACAAGCCGGGCAAGCTCAACGTGCTTGCGGACGGCCCTCTCTCGGCGTCCCGACTATGAGTTGGCCCACATCACGCGGGTGACAACGGATCTATATGATCGGATACGCATGGCGTATCGGGACGATGAGGCTGTCGCGCCTATCGTCAAGTTCCTTAAGGCCGGAACGAGCGCGAAGTCCGACTGGTTCTCGTCGCGACAGCGCTCACGGCTCCACCGATATGAGTTGAAGGAGGGCCTCCTCTATTATCGGGTAGAGCCCACTGATCCTCCACGGGTGGTTGTACCCAACGACGAGGATCTGAAGTTCGACATCCTCGCGGAGGCGCATGACGCGCCCTCCGGCGGCCACTTGGGCCGCGAGAAGACCTTTCTGTCGGTCTCTCAGTCCTTCTGGTGGACCCACATGTACAAGTGGGTCGCCCGGTACGTCAAGACATGTGAAACATGTCAGCGGGTCAAACCCGCAGGGCACTCTTCGGCTCCACTACAGAGCCTGCCCGTACCGGCTGGTTGTTGGAAGTCGATGAGTCTTGACTTCATCTTTGGGCTTCTTGCCGACGGACACGGCAACACCGGAATTTTGGTGTTCGTGTGTCAGCTGAGCAAAATGGTACAACTTGCTGCAGTTCCCGTCACTGTGACGGGCGAACAAACCGCAAGGTTGTTCGTCGATGGCGTGTTCCGCTATCACGGTCTCCCGGAGACGATTGTCTCGGACCGAGACCCGCGGTTCACTGCTGCGTTTTGGAAAACGCTGTTCCCTTTACTGGGAACTCGTCTGCAGATGTCCACTGCGGATCATCCGCAGACAGACGGCCAAACAGAGCGCGTCAATCGAGTGCTCGAGGACACTCTGCGCAATGTGTGCGCGGCAGCACCACGTACGTGGTCGACGCAGCTTCCAGTTGTTAAGTTTGCGCTCAACAACGCAGTGCACGCGTCCACGGGGTTCACGCCGTTCTACTTGAACGGCTTCCGCCACCCCAGAGTGCCTCTCACTCTTCGAGGAGACACTGACGCCTCTATTATAAGTGGGGGAGAGGCTCGGAAAGCCTTTCCTCCCAGGTCTCGGATGTGAGACCAGTTTCGTTGCGGAAGCAGGTGGAATCCTTTATGGATATCAAGCTGAACATTGTCAGCAGGGTCCGCGATGCCATGGCAGCGGCCCAAGATAAACAAAAGGAGTACTCGGACAAACAAGGAAGAGGAAACTTAAGTATATTTGAGATTGGTGACTTAGTGTTACTAGACACGAGGAACCTACCTCTAGACACTGTTAGCTCTGTCGGCAGCAACAAGCTGAAGCACCGCTTCATCGGACCTTTTGCAGTCCTGGCCAGACATGGTGCGTCGTACACCATCGACCTTCCAAAGTCAATGACGACGCACCCGACGTTCTATGTCGGACGTCTTAAGCGGTACTTTGACCCGCAGGGGGTTGCTGACTCGCAGACCCCCCTTGACCCAGCTCCTCGAAGCGAGGGCCGGTCACAGTCGTCGACGAGGGCGTCGGAGCAGGCACCCAAGTCTCGGTCGGGACGGCAAGGCTGCGGTCAAGACCGTACGCCGGAGGGGCTCCATACGAACGGACCCCGGCGCCATACGCCGAGTACGCTGAGTACGCCGGGTACGCACCATACGCGTACGTCTGGGAGTGTGCCGCAGGCGGCTCCGGACGTGGCAACAAAGCCTCGATCCGTCGGATCATGCGAAAGGCCTCGTCCAGATCGGACGAAGAGGCCCGGCGATCCACCCGCAGGTGCAGGCTCGCGACCTCTCGCTCCACCAGGTCCAGGCGACCCGCAAGACGAGCGAGCTCGCCCTGATTCCCGGCCTGGGCGGCAGCATTACCGCCAGTCCCAAGGCCAAGTGCAATCTCAAGCACGAGGACACGTTGACGGAGGCGGTCAACCTCAGGGTCCCGTGTCGGACCCGCAGTCGGAGCACTCGAACGAGAGTGGCTCTCGGGAGGCGCCGCGTACTCGTACTCGTACGAGGGCACCTCCGCCCCTGCTTGACCGGAATGGAGAAGTCCACTACCACATGGAGCGGATCCTCCAGGAGCAACGGTGTCGCGGCAAGCGACAGCTCCTCGTGAAGTGGAGGGGTTATGCCCACTCCGAGAACTCGTGGGAGCCGATTAAACGGCTCCTGATTGACTGCCCGAAGGCTGTCGCAATCTGGGAACAGAAGCGGCGGCAGCTTCATAAGTAGTCCGGGGCTTCTTGCCCGAACGGGGTACGGATGATGAATACATACCGTACCCGCGCTCAACGTGAGCGCTAGAAGCCGCGCGCTTCAGGATGTCCCTTGGCAGCATACGCTTGCTGATCAAGTGGGCAAACCTCACACGAAGATCACGCTGGTCCAGGATGTGGGACAGCTGCTGATCTTCATGGAGTTCCCATAACTCCGTGGGCGAGTACTTGAGAGTCTCCACCCACGCCCAGAACATGTCCTCACAAGAACTCCATGTGGGACAGTTCTCGGGCATAACCCAGGGGTATCCCCAAACAGGATAGAGACCACCCCGGGTCTCGGGCTTCTTACGACAAGTCGTGAAGTCCTTAAGGGGAATGCGGTGTGGCGCGAGAAGCACACACCGAGCAGCCTCCACGTTGTCGACGAACAACTGTTCTTTCTGAACAAGGGCTCGTTCATAGATGCCCCTAGAAGTGTGGCCGCCCACAAGGCCACGAGGAGCGACGAGAAGCTCTAAGAAGAGGTCAGCCCCAGAGCTCTCCTCGGGAGGCCAATACCCTCTTGAGTTGATGGCAGCTCCCTGGCTGACGGGTGCCGCCACCGAACCCCCACGCACACGCTGGGCAGCTTGGAAATCCTCCTGCTGCTGGTCGAGGTCATTCGAGACCTCCCGGGGCTCAACAATGGCACCCTCCTCTTCCTCTTCTTCCTCCTTCTCCTCCTCTTCATCCGAGGAGCCGAAGAGACTCTGATAGGAGCGTCGAGTCTCCTTCTCCTCGCGGAGTGGAGACTTAGAGGCGGTACGCTTCTTTGAGGGCTTGGCGCCTTCGGCTTTAGAGGCCTTAGCGCGCGCAAGACCCTCGGCAAGCGAGAGACGTTTGCGAGGACTCCCTTCCTCATCGCCACCGGCTTTGGGAGTGTCCTTAGCCTTAACGGCCGGACTCTCAGAGCGCACAGAGGTCCCGGGACTGTGATCACCGTGATCACTAGCGGACGACTGCACGCTGTCTTCTTTGTGCTCACTGGGCACTGGGCTGTGCCCTCCCACAGAGCCCGCAGGAGCATCATGAGTGCTCTCGAACTCGGCATCGTCCTCACTGCCCGAGTTGAACTCATGTTCTACGAACCGAGGGTTCGGACGATTGTCTGAAGACGAGGGCGACGGACTGCGGCGCCTGCTTGCGCGCTTGTCCGCAGCCGCGTCACCCGAGGATCCGATCGCCTCGGAGGCCACCTGAGTAGCCTCCTTAAGTGCAGAGCCTTTGCCGTGAGGCTTAGTGCTCTTGGCCTGCGCCTTACCGGCTGCAGCCTTGGAGCGTGTCTTAGCACCGCTCTTAGCAGTGCCACGAGGCATGTTAACGGTCGAAGTGGAGACCTTGACGAAGAGCGCACAGGTTGCTGCTCGAGGCTCTAACTGTAAAGTGAGCCTCCGCCGCGCTCGCGCGGCCGAGTCGATGGTTTTCGACTTTGAGAATGAGAGGTTGTGACGAACATCTCTTCATTCTGATTGGTCGGTAAACCGAACCTAAGTGGGGGAGGATGTAACGGGGTACGTAGCACTAAGTGTACCCTGGTTACATGAAGTGTGACACTTCACACTTCAGGAGTATGACATGTCATACTCCGGAATATTTGGTACAAGGTACCAAGGTCATTCAAAACCAACCATTGGTTAAATGACATTGCATTTCTATAGGTAACTGATAGTTTGTATTAACCACAAACTTAACCTACCTATAAATATACTCAGTTTACAATCTACCTTATTTAGGTCACTTCGCTCTCTTTAATTAAAGAGGGGACCTGTGAACTGCCGTTCACTGAGAGTTTGTATACTCTCGGAAGATAACTTCCTCTAGCGCAAGGTGCTGTGTGACCCCGTCACAGACGTACTGCCAATTCAACACACTGTTGCATTATTGTCGCACTAAAAAATGATAAAGTTGTTGTTGGTGCAGATCATGCAGCTTCGATTTTATCTTTACCAAGCGGCATCATCGGCAAAATAGCAATTCAGGCTGCCCAAAAATGTCTTGACCTTAGAGACAGAAGGGACTGGCAAACGTTCTATAAATGTATATATAACCAATCGTATGCTTACGTAACAGGGACTTTAAGGCTTAGGTCCTAAAGGGTTAAAAGATGTCATTTGCGCTACCGGACTACGCTTATTATCGCTATTAGAAGATCACAGTAAACGAGGTAAAACGTTGTAGTTTTGGAAAAAAATTCCACCAATACGCTTATTGTTGAGCAATATTGTTTTACCAATGATTTTTGGCTGCACAACACATGAGTGAGGCATCTACACCCCCGAGCAAATTAAAGCCCAAAGAGTCCATTAGTAGCAATTAAGACTTATACTGCACATTTCACCAACAGTATGAGGCCCAGTCGTCTACAAGGCTTATGTGCGCGCATTGAGACTCGCTCATGGTAAATAGTAATAAATGTGATCCAGAGTTAGTAAGCAGTCCCACCAGAAACCGGTTGATGATAACATTGAACCTGGCAGACTATCAAAAGGACTTCGTACATCTAAATACAGTCTTAGAAAAGGCGGTGAAGCACGTGCGATGCGCGATCCAAGCCAATCGTTCCATGTGTTGAGTAGTCTTTCTCGGTTGCTTTCGAGAGATCAAACTCTTCGAAACAAGAGCTCTCTTCATGCGATGGCTGCTTCTGGCGACGGACATACTTGTACATTGATGCAGGGTGCTCTCGATCGCGTTCCTCAAGCGCAACGCGTCGAGAGTTCATTTGTGTCGCTGTGTGAACACAGCGAGTGCACAAATCAATAACTTTCTGCTTGACAACGATGGAGCGGTTGTCCGCCTTGATGAAGCTCAGCTTTTGTCGAACATGGCAACGAGGGCACACGCGCTCGGTACAAATGTGGCACTCATAAAACCTCCTTTGTCCAAAAACACTTTTGAGCTCTCGTGCGCACACGCTACAACACAATTCGTTGCAATCGCCAGTAGTAGAGGGAATCGAATTCGTGTCAGCCGTAGCCAGCAACCAATTTAGTTTGCGCTTTCGAGCACACTTTGCCGCCTTATTTACAGTATCAGCCGCCTCGATGGTCGCGAACGACGCCATACTGGCAGGGACATCCCCAGCAAGATCCACCATCGCTTTCGCGAAAACTTCAACGGTACCCTTGGACTTCTGACGGAACAGCTGGTAGATTGTCATCTTGCCGCGAGTCAATTTGCGTCCTGGAAGCTCAGGAACGCCACGCACATCGAGCGAGTGCAGAATCTGGTACCCGATGCGGTGTCCGGTCGAACGACTTGTAGTCACTCCAGTAGCCTCAAGGTACACGAAGTCGCGGCATCGCCACACCGGTTTAGCTTTGGTAAGAGCGTTGTTTACCTCCCACTTGAGATGCAGTCCATGGAACGGATCACTGGGTGTCGAAGTCTCCAATGACGCCAACGTAGCAAAGTCCTGGACGTTGTTACCCGAGTACGAAGACTTGATACGAACCACCTCATCGCTCTGACTGACAAGGCCGTACATCAGATCGTCGAGCTTACACTCGACCGTGCCCATCCAGATCAACTCCTTAAGATCGCTCACATCCGTCTCATGGGTTGCCGAGGATCGAAATGTCCCAGGACCAAGGCTCCGTGGCAGTAAATCTCCAACGCGAGTCAACTCAATGACGTCTCCAAATGACTTTGCTTTTCGCTTTCGACGTTTGATCTCCTCCATCGCGAGCTGGTCCTTGTACACCACGATGTTTTTCCTTTTCTTGACCGGTTTCCAGCGAGTGACGCTGGGTAAACCACTCAGGCTCGACAGGACGTGCTCGTAGTCCGCCAACGTGTCATCGATGCACCGCTGTGCCAATCTCTGGGTCGATCGACGATCACGCTCTGTAAGCGAGAGGGGGGTCTCGAATGGGCAGGTCGGTTCCATGATTCGGAGCCCTTATGTTGCCTAGAGAAGTTTAAAGAATGGAACTGGTTTTATATATTATTGCTAAGCTGCCAAGCTCACCACAAATTGTACATCGGATGGCAGAATTATATGGGCCCACGTGGTGAACCGATGCGGGCCTGCGACGCGCACTAATCACATAGCGAGTGGACTGAAGCACATAAGTGTTAAAACTGCTCCGGTCATCATATTCTTGAGCGTCAAAATTGTCGCTTCTCGAAAGACTGCATCCATACGGTGTTATTAATATCACAGGGTCTCCAGACAAATGCTATCGGATGATTGTCAAACTCAGATGGAAAAGGTATTCGTGGCCGTGTAGGCAAGCTGAACCGCGTATTTACTGGGTAAGTTGCGATGAAAGAAAGAATCGATTTTTTTAGGTCAAACAGCAGGGCTAAGTTACGGACCAGCTCTCGGTGGCGACTGTTGTAGCCAACACAATTTTTTATTTCGTGTCTAGCACGGCAAATAGATTCGTGCATTAGGTGTTCTAGCATCATGCAAACTGTACTCACACGACACCGACTTGTACTACTGCAGTGAGTCGCGCGTGCGTACTAACCCTCATTGACGTGACTGTACCATACCACAGCGGTCGGAAATGGAAGACGAGTACCTTGAGTCTCAGCCCGAAGAATCCGAAGAGATCGATGACACACTTCGAGTTACTGCCGATTCATAGAAGATAGCCGTGGGGTTCTCGAGCGCCAACTCTCCTTGCGCAACAGTAAGTGCGCTCATATGGGCCGACGTGTGAACGCAGCGTGTGCAAATGTCAATGTTCTTCTTGATGACTCCGCGCGTGCGTCGATTGAGGAAGCTGATTCGTTTGGGGATTCGGCAGCGCGCGCAAATTCGACCAGCGCAGATTCGGCAAGCCTTGTTCATGAACGGCAACAGGCTCTTGCTCAGGTCCTTCGTACACACACTGCAGAGATCTAGCGACGGTTTCCCGCTCTCGCAAGGCTCCATCGTGTGCAGCAGCCACATGACCTTGTGGCGCTCCGCACAGAATGCTGAAAGCGTAAGTGTAGACATTGCTTCAGCCGAGAAGAGAGACACGCTGGTAGACGGCATCTCGCCCTGTAAGTCGCACAGCGCACGCACGTATACTTCGACGACGCCCTTGCTTTTCTGACGGAAAATGTGGTACAGCTCCAGTTTACCACGCACCAGTTTGTATTCCGGTAGCTCGGAAATTCCGGGAAGCTCTAGCGAGTGGCAAATGTGGTAACCCATGCGTTCGCCGGTCGTCGGAGACTGCGTGATACCCGTGCTCTCCATAAACACAAAGTCACGAGGACGCATGATAGGCTTTGCCATCAACGGACCCATGTCGTTTACCGTCCACTTCAACTGGAGACCCTCAAATGGCTTGTCGACGGTTTGTCCTTTGATCGACGCGAGCAGGAAGTAGTCTAAGCCATTGTCCTCGACATAGGACGACTTGACCTTCCACATATCTGCATTTTGGTTCACAACGCCGAGCATGAGATCATCAAGGTCGCAGTTGATGGTGCCGTGCCACAGCACTCTCTGAGTTGGAGTCTTAGAAGAAACACCGAGCGTAGCTGCTGGTGCGGGCGGTGGTGAGACGGGGTCTTCAACACCGTCTACAGTGGGCTTGCTGGTGCTGTTGGAGACCTGCAGCGTTACTGCAAGTGCACATCGATCATGATAGGCTGCAAGGTTCTCCTTGCGCTTAATGAGCTTCCAGCGTTCAGTATCGAGGACGCCGTTTCCATGAACGAGCATTCGTTCGTATTCTGCCATCGTTTCAGCTAGAATGCCATCAGAGATCGACAGAATGGTATCTTGCTCGCTGGTTGTCAGCTGTAGCGGTTGGAATGGGCATGCCGACAACGGAAACTTCATGTCGGCTTACTTGTGTTGGCCTACGGCTCGGGAGTGGAAAAGCGAAGTGGTTTATTCCCTGCACTGATCGCCTAGACTGTTGTTGGTCTCTCTTCCGATTACACAACTGCGGGCCGACCCTCCTGATCTGAGATAAGAACTCTAGTCAAAGCAAAGTCTTAACACATGGCGGCTCAGATCGACGACACCCAGAAGCTCATTGCAACTGATCCCAGAATAGGAGAAAGAGCACCAGGCCAAATTGAATACCCCTCTCAAATCGGATTAAAGAGGCGGTAATCGGGTACTGCTAACTGCTGAGCGACGCTTAAAAGAAGTAATATAAACATTGATGTATACTTGTGATATTTGCTAGAAGGAAAATCCACGACTGAAATTCTCACTCAACCTCGCAAAAAGTGATTAACTCCTTACCTTTCTGCAGATCCCTCGCAGGTGGCGGTCCGAAGCGAATTCCCGCCACAACCTGTTGCTTACTGTTCCAAATAAACTTGAAACTTCACTGATTTCGCCCTAGGCTCACTTGCTTGGACGTGGTGTGGAGAGTCTGAAGCAAACAGACCTTCTGAATCCAGTCAGCCAGAATATCAAGTCCACCATCTAACTTTATACCGTGATAGTTCTCCCCGACTGATGCTCGGTGTCCTCACGGAGCCATTTCGCCGGAGCCTGCCTCATGGTTTCTTCGACAGCTAAATCCGGAAAGCTCCGTCGTGGCGTTCCACCAAAGGTTTCACTCGCGTTTGTAGCCCCAGACGACGTTCCATCCGTAGGCGTTTCTCGTATACGCTCCAAACTACCACGTTCCCTTTCTTAACGACGTCCAATGCGACCGGCTAGTCCTTCCACTTAGGCTTCCCAACCTGATTAGCCCAGACCTCAGCACTTGGCCAAAGGCCCCCGTAGCAGCGCAACACGTGACTGTAGCAACCGGTCGTTAGCATGGCCAGATTCCAGGAACAGCATCCGACCTCAAACACCACATAAACGTCCATCACTAACACAACCAGCGCCACCCTCATCCAGCCGCAAATAACTCCTTCAGCGCTCTCATACTCCAGGCGAGGTAAGTAGATTAGGATTGACGGCATGAGCGTAGTCAACAAGTAGCTCTCCTCAATGACATCTCCAACTCGGTCCACAGCCGCCATTTCAGTCTTGCTCGTGGCTCGTGCGTACCGGTAGGACGTCTCCCACAGCAGCCGGATCGCATCTGGAACGTAGTGACAGCACGAATGGTGAAACACTTAACACCACTTCTGATACATTCTTCTCCTGTCCGTACTCCGCCTTTCATCCCATATCGACGCGACTCTCCGCCGCCGACGTGATACGCGCTCGGACGTTTGTCGACGCCGCCCTCTGCTGTGAAGAGTATAGCACACCAGGCGACGATGCGCAGACGCTCAAGCAATAGTTCTGGGCCGCGATGCGCGCGCACCTCGGAGCCAGCAGCATGTCTTCGGGGCTACAATTTATGGATCAGCTCGCCGATGACATCTTGATCGGCAAACCTGGCGCTTTCTCTGAAACGAACCGTGGTGGATCTACCCGCGTCACCGGACACAGCTTCTTCGAGCCCCGCGTCGGCCTCGACGTCGTAGTCTAGCAAGCTGTCAAAGTCACCATCCAAGAAATCACCTAAGTGACCGGCTATTGACAAGCGCAAAATCAGCAGTGACGATTCTCCTCCAAGGCATCCACGAATAAAGCCCGCTCCACTAGCAAGCCCAAGAAAGACCACGTCACGTCCAACAAATACAGCCGCCTTCTTGACGTGAATCCCGCAGCCTCTGCTCCTGTTTGTCAAATGATTGGCGCCGTTTTGGTGAAGGCGGAAGCCCTCGGCAAGAAACTCTAGCGTCTCGCGTTCCCGTGGACCGGATGTACCCTTTTGTACGACCCTACCAAGTACTGGTACGTGTACCGCGCACACTGGCGCTTCTGTATGACCAATCGTCATGCCTTCTGGGGTTGGGTACTTCACGCTCCTCTCACTACGACAGCGTCCTTGACCCAGCGCCGCAAACAGAAAATGCGCGCCGTCCAAGATCGTTGGGCCTTTACCAGCTTTGGTATCGAGACGTGGGGCTTCTGCGCCTTCCTAGAAATGCTGGAGAAGCGCTCCGAGATTTACTGGCTCGAAGGCCAACCCATAGAGCTACACGCGACGGTCGCTCTTACGACGGACCCATCGCTGAAGATCTCGCGTCCCTGAAGCCCAAGGACAAGGATCGATACAAGGCCACGCATGAGAGCGACCTGGACCCGTCGCATATCGACACTTATGGATACCCCAACATGTGTTCCTTGTTCCAGTCCACTGACGAGCTGAACCAGACGCCGACGAGACGAATCGGCTCTCGCTCGGGGCTCTGGCTCGTGTCTGTCGTGACACCATGTCCAGTGCGAAGCCTAGCGCGGCTTGTGCGGGTGAGAAGATCGAGGAGCCCTGGCAGACGCTTGTCAATTGTCACGCCGCGAGTCTGACCCAAGACAATCTCATGGCTCAAATCAACGAGGGCACGTACGGAGTTCCCACCGTCCGATTACCGACCAGTACGGAGCTTCGCCGCAAAGACTGGTCCGACTTCGAAGACGAATGCGAAGAGGAAGAGAATGCTGCAATGGCCCTCGAAGACGCCAGTAGCGTCGCCGAGGGTGACGAAGATGTCGTCGACAGCGATGAAGAAGAGTCGGAGTCCGACGTTGAAGAAGAAGAGAAAGAAGAAGAATTTGTCGAGCATGAAGACGGCGATGAACACAGCGGCAAGGAGTAAGATGATGATGACCAGAAGGAGTCCGACCAGTAACTCTAAGCCCCCACCCCCCGTTTACATGATGTAGCCTACGTAATCCTCTTCTAAGCAAAGAGTGATACAATTTCCTTCGGTGCGTTGCGACGTCTTTACTCTTCCAGTCCTTTCCATTTTTCAGGAACGCTAGGTCAATAGGCCGCATCCGTACAGACTAAACAACGGGGTGTCACCGAGACCTTCGTGATACGCCGTCCGATATGTAAACATGCCCCTTGATAGATACTTGTCCCAGTTGCTCTGCGTCTTGCTCATAAACAGCCGCAGCATTCTCTCAGTGCTCGATTGAAGCGCTCCACAAGATCTTGGGTCTGGGATGGTACACTGCACTGAACAGCTTTTTAATACCCATCGGCTGATACTGTGAATTGGCCAGATTTGACGTGAAGCTGGATCCGCGGTATCTCAGTATACTCCATGTCTACAGATACACCATCTGTCCTGGCGTCCAAAACCGAAATTGTGTCCGACGACGAGATTCGTTGCGTCAGCCCAGCCCTCTGGGGTCTGTGTCCCTTTCCATCAATGAAAATTGAGCATTCCTGCACGTACTTGATCACGTCTTTCCTCCACCCGTGCCAGTACGCATGACGTCTAAACTTGCCCGTCGTCTTCATTCTTCCCAAATGGGCAGAGGAAATATCGGCATGGCAATAGTCCAGCACTGTATCGATAAATGGTAACGGGACAGTTGGAGGGCACACAGTTCTGGCTGGACCAGCACGTGCTCCTACGTGCAAGAACTCTGTTTCCAATCGAGTAGTGCGGATACATCTTCAGTACACTTACGCTCAGTTGAGGGTCAAGAGCCAAGTATCCGTAATTAAGGAACGCCATCATAGCTCGCTTCTAGAGCACACGCTCTTGTTTAACCATGAACCTGTCAAAGTCGAGCCCAAACCTTTCGAACGGTGAAGGGCTATCCTGCGGATCCATCCTTGCAAGGCTTCCAACTATTCATGTTGAGAGAGGGACTCGACCACCACGAGCACACACTCAATAGGTTGGTTGCTTGTTTCAGTCTCTCCGTCAGGATCCATTTTCTCCGTAGTCTCTCCGACCTTGATTGAAGCGTTCCGACCCCGCGTTCTGTCCAAGACTGACGTTTCGCTTTGAGTAGGGACCCTATCCGAGATCGGAGTTTGCAAGCCAAGAGTCTCGTCCTCATAGTCGTTGAGGTGGACCGCCATTTGAATGGCACCAACAATATCGGCTTCTGGTAGATAATACAGCCTTGGCAAACCATTTGTGTGACCCATCGGCATCCCAGGTTTGTGATTTATCTTGAACCATAGCAGCGACAACTCCATAACCCACTGTGCGAACTTGGCGCTCGACGTCCTTGTGGTCTCGCCGAAGATTCATGTGAGTGCCTGATGGGCCCTATACAGGTCAAACTCCGCATGGCCCAGATAACACCGGAACGGGTGTGTAGACCACACCATTCCCCAGCACTCGATCTCAGTCGTTCCACTTGTCTTGTTTACCCAGTTCCGCTGCGATCCAACCAACACCTTGCTAGCATACGCGATATCCCAGTCTCATGTATCGAATTCTTGCATTAGACATGCTCCCACCGCTAAGTTTGACGAATCTACGTAGCGTTTAGATCTCTTTTTAAGTCCGATACACCAGTATCGGAGGCTTCACCAGTGCTCGTTGTAGTTGACTGAACGCGCCTTCGCAGTCTTCGCTCCACTTGAACTCAACACCCTTCTGCTTCAAACGTTTCAACGGCGCAGCAATCGCGGCGAAACCCCGGTATGTAGCGTCAAAATTAGTTTATTTCTCCCAAGAATGCTCCAACCGTGTGCAAGTCATGCGGCCTCTCGATATTCACCACCGCCGCCGCCCCCTCAGGATTCGGCAATATCCGAGTTGGAGTCACGCTTTGACCGAGGAACGCCACTCTTCAATGGCACTTCTTCATCTCTAACTTGCACCCCGCGGCTCGAAGACGTTCCAAACCCTGACGTACCCGGATCGAATGCGTCCGGAAGCCGTTACCGACGATAACACGGTCGTCTAAGCAGACAAAAAACGTCCTCCACTTATGGTCGGCAAGAACGCTATCCATTAGACATTCAAATGCAGGAACGGCGTTACACAATCCAAACGGTACGGCCTAGCACTCATAGAGGTCAAATTTGTTCGTAAAAGCCGTCTTCTCCACACTGTCGCAATCCATTGCAGCTTTTAGGGAGCTTTTCAACTCC